AAAGTTTCAGTTTTCAGTATTGGAAGTATCGACCACGTTTTTACTTAGGAACTCTCTGGAACAAGATACGGTCTTGAAGAAGAAAGCAAATTTAGTTGCTACTGCCAAGCTTTCGACCTTTTTTAAGGACATCATCATGACAAAACAATCGTAAATAAGTCTACAGCTTGACATGTTTAAGTTTTTTTACAGTCCTTGGTAATGTTGGGACTGAATCGGTCGAACAGGAAATTTGAGATCTTCTGTAAAGAAAAGAAGAAAAAACTTAAATACGTCAATTTGTTGGCATTATTTTGCCCTGATGATGACCCCCGCTTCTCTCTCTCACTCACTCTCTAGATTCTCTTTTTCTCTCTCTCTCTCTCTCTCTCTCTCTCTTTCTCTCTTTCTCTCTCTCTTTTTCTCTCTCTCTCTCTCACTCTCTAGATTCTCTTTATCTCTCTCTCTTTTTCTTTCTCTCTCTCTCTCTCTCTCTCTCTCTCTCTCTCTCTCTCTCTCTCTCCCTCTCATTCTCACTCTCACTCTCAATATCTCATTTGCAATAAAGTACATCTATAATTTCTGATTTGTCTGATACAAACAGCACAAAATGCATGTGTTAGACACATATTAAGACTAAAGTACGATAGTATTATTTGAGATAAATACAGAAGAATAAATATGTTAAGATAACGATAAAAAAAGACCAACTTATCAACAATGTTTAAAATTATACACTCTAAGCAACCGAACTATCTATTTGTTAAATATACGGGAAAAATTACAAATTTAAGACAAAACATTATTAATTACCAGCATAAAGCTGTATAATAATGTTCCAAATAGTATTTCCTCTGAGAGCAGTTTTCGTACTTTAATAAGAAAATATTTAAAACATCTCATGGAAAATAATTAAAATCATCATAAAATCATAGAATCATAAATTAGTTAATAATATGTTTTATATTATGGGTTTTTGCATTCTCTGAATAACTATAATAATAACGAAAATTAAAAAATAATGGCTTAATTAATTTAAAGTCTCGTCTAACTACCCAAAATTCTTGTTAAAGTTTTTTTTATTGTTTATCTTTCTTTTTTTTTTCGTTTGATTGTTATTCATTGATTTCTTAAATAGATACATATTGTCTTATAAATGTATAAACAAAAATTGTTTTATTGTGCACTATTTAGTAAAAACTGTGTAAAACTTTATTTTTTCTTGTTTCTATTTCTAAAATAAATCGTAAAGATGTAAAATGTACAACTCACGTTAAGTGTAAGAAACGTCCACGACCCTCTCACTCTCTCTCTTTTTTTTATCTCTCTCTCTATCTATCTATCTATCTTTCTCTAAGAAAGAAAATAAGTACATTGACGATATTAAAAAAAGTGATTGGGGGCGTCGGTGGCCGCAACGGTTTAGGCGTTGACACGGCGCTCATCACTGTAAGGTCCCGGGTTCGAATCCAGCGGCCCTGCATTCGAACCCAACATACAAATGGACTTTTTTTCAAAAACACCGGCGCCCCGAGGGTTGATATGACCTCTGCTGTTGCGAACCCTCGGAAAAAAAATTAAATTAAATTAAAAAAGTGATTAGCCAATATAAAAGTTCCTTTGGTTAAAGTGAAAAGCAATAAAATCCAAGCTCTGCCAAATATCGAATCGTTTGACAAAAACGAAATTTTACTGGTATTCTTCTCGAAGGGAAGGTACAAGTTTAAACTTTTGTCGACGGATTGATGAAAGTCCTCCGACTGGACACGGTAGGTGTAATTCGCTCGTCGGCGCCAGTCATTAAACAGTTATATTTTTTGTTCCCTTCTAATTAACACTTATTTATAGCAAAGAGAACAAGCGTGTCGTGCTCGGGTTGATAATAGGCTTTCCGATAGTCAAAGAAAACCCGATGAACTTTCATCGGAGCCGCGAAGAAATCGGTTCTACCGGATCGGAACGGGGTTTTCCTCTTGGCCGTTTTTTTTCTTCACCTGCTGGAATGAAGCTTGCAAAACCCGGTCCAAGTGAAAGTGTATACCCTAAATAATCTCCGATCTCGAAGCAATTGGTAATTTTCAAATCTCGCAAAAAAAGAAGAAGATAGTACGATCCATAAAGGCTTCTGTCAGCTATGTTTGACATTTATCTGTTTAGCAGCCAAACGATGGTCAATCAACAATGGAACATTATTATTAAGATTATTCGACATCATGGTTAACTTGCGTCAAAAATACTCCTCTTTCTTGTTTTTAGCCCCGATTAACCCTTGTCTATCCCAGAATCGACTAGTGCCACAAAGGGCATTCGAATATCGAACAGAACACTGTTGAACTGGGCGAACGAAAGAGCAAAACACGTGCACATCCTCTAACGACGCATTCACTGAAATTGCCATGAACTATCTCAACCAATTTTTTTTTCCAAACCTGTCCTTCCTTTGTTCGTTCTGAAAACCCAGGGGGCAGAGCTGTGCTCGACTCGCGACGTCGAAATCGCTCCAGATTTCGTGTAATTTTCCCCTTTGAAAAAATTAACAGTTCTTCCGTGTGATTCTGGCAGGATAAAAGCAATCATCCTTACTATCTTATTTTCTGTATAATTTGAATTTCTGCCTCGTATGACATGACAAGTGGCGTACCGTAATGCACCTGTGCCCCCTCGTTACACGTGCATCCAGAAATACGCCTCCTTATCCACCGTCTTTAAGCGGAAGGGCTCGTAGTTAAAGTTATTTTTGTAAATCGACAGATCTCTTAAGATTCCGTGGATGGGGCCTCTTGTGTCTGAATAAACCAAAACGCCACCCTCGTCAGCCAGAATAAACACAAGTATGAACAACATTTCCGCCTAAGGTACACTGGAGGAGGAAATTTTCAACTTATTAGTAAATATACACTAAAACTGGGCTAAGGTTGCCAGTCAATGACGTAAAAGTGGGCGGGGCTAAAGGTTGGCTAATTGTATTTGTTGGTTGTACGTCACTTGTATAATGACGTCAAAAAAACAATTATCTACCAACATCAAAATGATTCCGTTAATGTTTGTCCAGTGTCAAAGCAGTCTGGCTTAGTTTTTATGAGATGTTGTGTCCAATGATGTATGAACTGGCGATAGGGATTAGGCTGGTAGGTCCATCGCACAATACATAGATGTATTAGTCGAGTATATTATACTGCGCCATTTAAGAGCTATTGAATCCCCCGTTCTGTGCTTAAAGCACACCTGTAAGTCCTAGTCCGTCAAGGAACTTTATTAGTAGGCCCGGTTTCAATCTCTTCTGCGGTTACGTTGTATGTCCCAAAACAATTCCTGAACAAGGTAGCACCACAGTTTGTTAGTAAGTGCGTTGGTGTCTCCTCTGCTTCCTTTCAGAATCTGCACGTGCAGCGTTGCGTTACAACAATTTTCTTCAGAACCCCATTTAGTCTGCAGTGTCCTGTTAAGAATTCTGTTAGGTTTCTAGGTTTTTTCCTGTATCCTTTCATCCTTTTGTTTCTTCTATTAATATTGTGTGTAGGTCAATGGAGAAAGATCAAGTACTCCACTGAATAATCAGAATGAGTGCAATGTACATAAGTGTGAATGTATTTATTTGTGTGACTGTATTATAGAAGTTAGTTTTAAACTAGATTATGTTTTGCATGCGTTGGAGTTAAAATGACCTAACTTGTCGAAAGCCCCTGTTGGTAGGGAAGCGACTCTCTCCTGGCCATCTGGTTTAAGGGGATACTAGACACGCCGCATAACGGGGTAGCTGTACTCTACTGAGGTATAGACCCTAGGGTCAGCAAATCGGGGAGTGACTACCTCTGGGATCAAAGTCCAATATAATTATACATTATTAAAATACTACACCCTTTTAGAGCTATTGTATCTGCCATTCATATCCTAGTCCTTAAGAAATCATGAGCGGTATGTCCGGTTTCAATGGTTGAATTTCCTCTATGGTTACGTTTCACATCCCAAAATACTTCCTCCTGCAAGTGTAGTGCCACCGTTTAGTAGGTGTGTCAGTGTCTTCTCTGTTTCTGTGCAGAATCTGCATTTGCCGTGTTATGTTATACCAATCTTCTTCAGGTGCCCTTACAATCTGCAGTGTCTTAATCTTGTTACGATTCGAAGCTTATTCCAGCTTCCTTTGATGCACTTCCAAAAATTGCTTACTTTAATATCTTCTGTTACCTCTTTCTTTCCAAAGTTGGTTAGGATGTTAATGGATTGTTTATGCCCAATGAGTGAGTTCCATTGTTCCCTGATTTTCTCTCTGCCCTTCTTTCCGAGGTGCTCATTGATAGTGTGCATTCCTATGCCACAGAAGAGCTCACCCAGTAACGTAACATAGTTCTCCGTCGTTGAATCAAAGTTGTATCACAATAATATTTTTGATAGACAAATTTATGTGGTGTTTTGTCCAATCACATAAAAGTGGGCGCGGTTTATAGCGAGGGTTCGCAATAGCAGAGGCCATATCAACCCTGGGGGTTGGCGTTTTTGAAAAAAAGCCCATTGGTAAGTATCTTGGGTTGAATGCAGGGCTGCTGGATCACGGGGACCTTTACCTTCCAGTGTCAACTTAAAATTCGCGATTAAAATGAACCTTAAAACAACAACAAACTTTGTTATCTATTTTGTCCTTATCATTTCAAACACAGCATGAATAATGTTTCAAAAATAGTCTCAAAAAAGTAGGCCGTGTAAGATATTTCATTCACGCTTGACCGCGATTGGTGGAATTTGGTAGCCCTTTATCCTTACGACAGCCTTTCTTTCAATATAAAGCTATTAAAAACATGGTTATGTTTTTACATGGATTATGTCTCAGTCAAGCCTCGCTTGTTTAGTTTGTTCACGACCTGTCGCATTTCGCCACAAAATTTCAAAACAATTTCTTAATTGCATGAAACTAATATAATTGGACTGTATCATAATGAATCCGGTAGACAATTGCCAACTTATTTTTTTTGTTATTTATAATTTCCACCACGCAGTTTGTTGATAATGATGATTTTCTTTTCTAGGAATTCCGGGCTGAAGAAGAGTAACAGCTCGGCTGGGTCTATGCTGGGTGAAGTGACGGCTTTGCGGCGATGCGCCACTCAGCCGATCCCCCGGGACGAGGTGGACGACCTGCCAAAGACCACCATCGCCGAAAGGTCGGTCAACAAATTATACGGCATTGATAGAGAAAGAATGAGTAGGTGATTGAGTGAGTGAAAGAGAGATATGAGCAGAACAAGATAATGTCAGCAGAAAGATAGATGTAAAATAGTTAATAGAAGGAAAGAAAACGAAAGAGGGTGAGGGAGAAGGAAACCTTAGCCTTGTCAGGTCATTCCGTTGTATGATCAAAATGCAATGCACCCTCTGCTAATAGAATTCCATTAAAAACGTAACAGTCTGCCGATGGCTTCAAAAACGTATAATTTTTCTTTTGCAGGTTGGCCGCTTTGAGAAAAAATGGTGACAACAACTGGCTTAAACGCATCACAAAGCCTGCCGCCGACGAGGAGATCATTTGCAAACCTCCTTCGGTACGTCTTATATCTTTTTAAATTCAATTTTATATGCAGGATTGGTAAAGAAGGCTCATCGCTTAAGCAATGGCTTGATTGGGCAAATCGGTTTCTCAACTTATTTTTCAAATGTACCTTGACAATGAGCTTATGGACATCTTAGACTATAGACCAGTTCCTCGATAGTCGGCAAGTGTGCGCATGCAGTACACCGTACCGAATAAGTACCGACTTAGCCAGCTTTTCAATAGGAATCGGCAGCCGATCCAACTGTTTAGATCAGGTATCGGCCGACTAGATGATGCACTCACTTCAATGTGCAACGAGGAAGGTTTAGACAAAATTATTTTTAATTGCAGTCGTACCTAGTCGTTTTCAGTGTGATAGATAAGGGAGCTTTCACAGTTCACCCCGAAGCTTAGCTGAGCCGAACGATGCGATGTGGTGCAAATAGTAGCTGAGATGGCAAAAAAAATTAGGCTTTCGTTCGCGACCCGTTTACACTGCGATGATGCGATGCCGCGTGATGAGTTTGCTTGCTCTAATCGCGCAAGTCACTTTGTGTTTTTTGTATTTCGTACGATCTGCTCGGCTGTTTTCAATCCGGACTGCAGGAGTTCATGCGGGAAGTTGCAAAATCAAAATTTCCACTCGCATTTTGCGTTTCAGACCGTTTTGAACTGTCTACCTGTGATCAATGTCTTTTAACCGGTAAAACTCGAAAAACCATGAGACTAATTTTTACGAAATTTTCAGGGATTATCCGATTGCTTTGCAGATGATCACCCTATGAATTTTATTTCAAACGGATTAACATTTGCCCATGGGCACGCATAAACGTGAAATCATGTGCACAGCTATATCTTTGAAACCAAATGTCAGATTATTATGCAATTTTTAGGTATTATGCAGACTGCTTTCTAGATGATCGCTATGCATTAGCATATGCGCACGTGCATGCAGAATTTTTTTCTTATCCCCTATGAATTAACATATGCGCATGTGCATGCACACACAAAATTTTCAGATTCATGAGCCATCTTCAGGGTTTATACGGGTTACTTTCTAGATGATCCCCTATGAATTAACATATGCACATGTGCATGCACACACAAAATTGTCAGATTCTTAATGCAATTTTTAGGGATTATGTGGGTTAATTTCTAGATGATTCCCTATGAATTAACATATGCGCATGTGCAAGCACACAAAAAATTGTCAGATTCATGTGCAATCTTCAGGGTTTATGCTGGTTATTTTTGAGATAATCCCCTATGAATTAACATATTTGCATGTGTATGTACACAAAAAATTCCCCAATTATTATGAAATTTTCAGTTATTATGCAGTTTTCTTTCTAGATGATCCCCTATGAATTATGGGGATGCATATGCACACAAAAAATTCCCAGATTATTATGAAATTTTCAGGGGTTATGCAGATAACATTCTAGATGATCCCCTATGAATTACGAGATGCGCATGTGCATGCACCGAAAAAAGTATCAGTTTCTTATGACATTTTCAGGTATTATGCAGATTTCTTTGTAGATAATCCTCTCTGAATTAACATATGCACATGCGCATGCAGAAATTTTTATCCTGATTCTTACGCAATTTTCAGGGATTATTGGATTACTTTCTAGATGATCCCCTATGAATTAACACACACATATGGACCAGTAGACATTTTTTTGCATTCTTATGCAGTTTTCAGGGAATGCGGGTTGCTTTCTAGATAATCTCCTATGAATTTCATTCTTAATGGATTAACACATGCACAAAATATGAGGAAGCTGTACTGCCCACCAGACAGACCTTTTCCCCTGACAAGTTATGTTGAGTGCTGATTGACCAGTTGAGGTATTGTTGCTAGTGGGTTCCAGCATATTGCTTGATCGGTGGGTTGGCATTTCCCGGTTCTTTTTAAAATTAAGTATCGCAATAATTTATAGTAAGTACTGCTTAACCCCGATCTGTTCTTATGTTGTCTGTATTGTTTCCCTGAATAAGCAACATTTCTTTGGAACAACATCTCTCCTACAATTTTAATTATTTGTATTCAATATTAATAGGCAATGGTATCACTTAGGCCTCTTTTTTACTGTTACATCCAGTATGCTGTTTTGATCCATTTTCTTCCTTTTGTAACTGCCAAAAATATTAAAAGGTAGCTGACCAGATTGCATGGTAAAAGGAAGTTGGGATACTACCCAATCATGACTAGGTCCACCAATAATGGAGGCAATATTCTCCCCATGGCCTTCCACCTATTTATAGAACCTTTTATCAAATTGGAATTACATGCATATATTAATCAATGTGAATGTAATACTGGTTAGCTCCAATACTTCAATGAATAAAGTCAACAGCAGAAAATTGGTGTCCCAGCAACTTTATGACTGGAAAAAAAAAAGTAGCAGCATTTTATTCAACAGACCCCGTATACTATCTCCTTTATCTATCTACATTAAGCAGAGTAAACATTAAAGATCTTGTGTTCACTGTGACCAATCCATCTCCTTTTGTGTAGTCAACAGAGACTTTTGTTTATTTTTATGCCTGTTTTTTTATTTGTCATTATTCCAAAGATTTTAAGTACTCCAATCTAATCCTTCACACACATCATTCCATCCTATTTTAGTATGCTGCTTCTTAATCTCAATCCCTCATCTTGGATAAATAAAAAAATACAATATAAATTCCTTAGGTGGATCACATCCAGTGTAAACGCCGTGTTACATTTAGATAACATTGTGTATATGCTTTTATCTGACTCGGAAAATTGACTTTAAACATTTAAAAGAGATTTTATTTAGATTTCCTCTTGGAGTCTGCAGGGTGATGAACCCCTGTGGTTGGTCGTTTCCGATCATGTTTGGTCTGCCTGCTGTGCGGTGGGAGGTTGAGATGATTCAACAGATCAAAACAGAGCGAATGATGGGCATTAAAACAAAACATGTTTGCGTTAATTTTTTAGTATAAACACTACTGGATAAGTAGTCTACAATCTAGTGCCTTTGCACCGAACACTATCTTAAAATGTAACTCCCTCTACCTTCGCCTGGTCTTTAACCTACACTGATAGAGCTGCTGACTTGAAACATTTCTCCCAAAAATCCTGTACCCAGCAGTCAGATAAGTGTGAAGTGGCGTGGTTGAGATGACTGGTTTGTCGTCTAATTGGCATTGAAGTAGTCATAGTTTTAAGATGTACGATCATCGTATGGAGTCGTAATATGCATGGCTTATCAGATTTCAAATATTTTTTGGTTTGATTATTTGTCATATGGTGTCAAAATGGGCGTTGAACCAGTCGTCCAATAAAGTCAAAGTAAGTTAAGCTGGTTCATCAGTTGTCAAAAATTATATCATATTGGTAGTGGTTTATTTGGTTGGTCAATTATCCAACGATGTCAAATTGGGATTGGCTGAGCTAATCAGTGGATTGTCTGAAGATGTGGATCACATGAAAAAATGTGTGGTTAAACTCTTTGACTTTCAACATTTCCCATAATATCTTACAATTAATTAAGGTTTTTAGTTGAGATAAAAAAGTAAATGGCACGAGCTGGATTCGAACCCATGACCTTCGGCTAGATACGCCGCTGCTCTACCACTTGAGCTATCGTTACCTCGATCCACTCGGACACTAACTTCCCATCTCAACCCCACCTTTTCAATTTTCCCTCCTTTTTGCCAGTTTTCAAATGTCGTGTAATCTTTTATCTCAACTGAAAACCTTAATTAATTGTAATATATTAATTGGTCAAGCAGACCACGAAACTAGTGAATCATTAGCGTTACCAAAAATTGGCTTATTTATGTATGTACATGCATATATGTCAGTTTTGAGTTCTACTCTTCAATTTAGTATTTTTTTCTTCTTTTTTGTACATAATAAGATTTATTTTATTGAATAAATATATCCTTATATTGTTATTTAGTTTATTATTGCTATTCCTGTTATTTTAAATATAAATAAGTAATTTTTCCCTAATCAAGTTTCCTTATAGGAAGGAGAGGGGGACTTAGGTAATAAAAATAAAAAATTAAATTCACTAGTTTCGTGGTCCGCTTGACCAATTAATATCTAACAATTAAGGTTGAGATAAAAAAATTGAAAAATGGCAAAAAGGAGGGAAAATTCAAAAGGTGCGGTTGAGATGGGAAGTTGGAGTCCAAGTGGATCGAGGTCACGATAGCTCAAGTGGTAGAGCAGCGGCGTATCTAGCCGAAGATCGTGGGTTCGAATCACGCTCGTGCCATTGACTTTTTTATCTCAACTAAAAACCTTAATTGTAATATTTCCCATAATGTACAGTTTATATTGTTCAATACAAAAATTAACATCAGTTACTAAAATCTTTGTAAAATCTGCCATATTAAATACTTAAGAGTAATTGTAAGGTTTAAGATAATTATTATTAATTTGACCATGCGGATGTGTTGTTTTAAATATTTTTGTAAACAGCAGGATTCGTTATTTTCTTTTTGTGTCCTGTGGTTTCAAAGATTTATCTGTAACCTTACATTTTTCTGGATGGCTATTTTGATAGAATAGCATTGTGGAAATTAAAATAATTTCATTAATTTATATGAATATTAAAATATCGAAGGGAGAAAAAAAAATAGCAATGAAAACACATGTTAATTCTCAAAGTTTGTTATTCAATCGTAATAATGTTATTTCCTGTTTGAATGAGAAAAAAGTCAATTTATTTCAGTCGAGTTGGAAGCGGAGTTCTATTTTAAGTTCGGTTTGGCACCGGTCACCTGTCTTGCAATTCCATGACGCATTACATTTTCTCCATTGGTCAAAATCGGTCCTAGATGAACCCGTGGAACATCTTACTTTCAGTGTGCGTGGTCATATTTGTCATGACCGCGCCGTACTTCATAACCGTTTTTCTCATGTTGATTTTGCTTGTCGCTGTTCAGGGCGGCGCGAACCGAGTCTCCGAGCTCATGGGCCAGCTTGATACGGCATCGCAGGGATGGAAGGCGAGGGTCGGACTGCAAGACGCAATGCAGTTCACCGTCGCAGGGAAGATGTCCGCTGACATGCAACTGCCCCCTGCACCCAAGCTGGGCCCCGCCAATAGAAAGCCAAGGCCGGTCGTTTTCACTAAAAATGGTACGTGATTATATAATTTAACATTCGAATTAAACAATCTTACCAGTATCGTTTATAGGGGTTTCAAATTTAGCCTCGGCATCGACCCCTTCTGTACCGGAGAGCCTAACAGCACTGATGAAAAGGAGCATTTCAATGCCGGAAGACGGCGAAGAGGAGCCAGCTCCATGCATCCAGGTCCCAGAGCCATACGATAACAATTTTTCCTCGTTCTTTGTCAATGCAGATCTCTCATCGCTCACCTCCGGCTGCTCCTCAGACTTGGATGTCGATTTTGAGGAAATCGCTCAAACATCCCATTTGTAAGTATATGATTCCTATCACACAAATTAAGACTAATTCTCACAATTTTTACAAAAAAAAAAAAGTAGTATATATTTATTTTTTATTTTTTTTAAATCAGATGTAATAAAGATTTTTTTTATTTCACGACACAAAATATGTGTTTAGTTTATTTCAACATAATAATACTAAAAAGGGAATTTAGAATAATCAGTTTGGCCATTTTAGATCATCCTGGTCTGTATACTTGCTGGTTTGGCCTGCCAGATGCATTTAGCCATCTTCAGTTGTGAGTGATAATTCCACCACAATTCCATAGTCATCACTATTTATTAATAATTATCTATAATCCTTACTATCGCGAGATTATGTATGTAACCATATCTACTCATCGTTAATAATCTACCACATAAACATGCCTCCTCCAAAGATAAAATAATTAAAAAAAAAAACAACTTCCATTGTGAGGAATAGGCAGGCCAGGATGATCGGAAACAGAAAAAACTAGGTGATTTAAAAAATAAAAAAAAATGAAACATAGCAAAAAGAGGGAAAATTCGAAAGTAGTTTGCGTCCGAGGGGATCAAAGTCACGATAGCTCCAATGGTTAAGCAGCGGCGTATTCCACGGGTTCGAATCCTGCTCGTGACACTAAATTTTTCATCTCAACCTTTAGATAAGAAGCAGAACTAATTTTTACCTGTGCTTTGCGTAAATTAACAAACGTTCAATTCCAGGCTCATCCAGAGGAGGAACGTACGCGTACAGCGTAAGCACAAGTCTGCAAATCCACTACGCGCTTTGGCAGCCAGGACTGACCTAAAGTCGGAGTACATCGAGGTCAAGACTGGAGTAGCAGACAGAGAGATCAGACGGATGAACATCGAGAAATGTGCGTACCCCCAGATCTGCGTAATGTCTTGCAACAATTAAAAACCCCTTTTCCTTAATCTTCCATATCTATATATTTGCATAGATATCTATATATATTTTCAATAAAATCCATTTGTCAAGTTGATTTATTTTATTTTTTCTTCGCTTTTTCTCTTCCTAATGTAATTTTTCCTTTAATTAGTTCTTTATTTTTGTTAAGCTTTTTATTCTTTATAAAACCAATTTTTTTTTTGTGTATTGTGTGGTGTTAGAAATGCATGATTTTTTATGTGTTTTTATTTAAAATATGGTGGTATGATGGGGCATGGTGGTTTTCTCTTTCCTACGCATTGTTACCATGGTAAACCGGGGATTTTCTGCCCAGTGAGCAGGAAAAGCGGGATGGCAGTTGAGGCCCTAGCGGGGCTGGCTAGCAAGGAGGACCTGTCAGCGATTTCCCTACGCAAATCCATTGAACCGTCGCCTTCCGTAAAGCAGTGGTGCCACCCAATACTCCTGAGGGTGAAGGGACGGCGCAGGCCTCTCACGAGCGTCGTCCGTCCTCATTACACAACGATAAACCAGGGAGACTCTTTCATACTAGTCACTCAAAGCAAAGTAAATTTTTAAAAAATTATTTTTAAAAAACGATTTTTTTTTTTACACCTAATGTATTTTCAGGTCTTCCACTGGATTGGCGAGTACTCAAATGTCATTGAAAAGTCAAGAGGCGGCGACATCGCTCTGCATATTCAGACAAAGAAGGATCTTGGGTGTATATACGCCTCTGCCGTTTCTATACTGGATGGAAGCATTTTTACAGAAAAACACAGAGAGTTTTGGAAGCTTCTCTTCTTACCAGATGAAATGATGGGCACATACAAAGGTACTTCATCGCCTGAAAAATTAACACAAACCTACCATAAATCCATTTTTCTTCTTTTTTTTCACATCTGCACAATTAATAATAGATTAGTAGTCTGAAAAACAAATCATACTAAACTTTAGTATTCAAAAAAAGGAAAAATAATAGTCTCGTGGATTAGGGTTCCGTTCAGAAAATTAGTGCTTTTGTACCATCCTTTATCGGAAAAAAAAGTTGTAATTTTTTTTCTGGCCTTACTTTATGCATTGGCCAAAGAAATATTATAAACATTTAATAATACATAATTTAAATTAATTTTATTTTAAATTATTTTCGTTGGTCCCACGTCTGTAGTTATCATATTTTTTTTTTAAACTTATTTACCTCTTCCTAAAAAGTTTTTTAAGTCAGGAATTTTTTCAAGAGACACGTGGTGTTTTTCAAAATCAGGTTATTTTATTTCATATTTTTCTTCAACATGTTGCGTTAAATATCTCTCGTGGATCCCTCAATGTACAAATAGGTTTAAAACTGAAAGAATGAATTTAAAAGAAAAAAAAACTGGTAGTCAAATGATATTAACTGCCTTTTGGAAAAAAAACAATAATTTATTAAAATAGAAAATTAAATTAAAACCTTGCCAATGATACAAAATTGGAAAAACTTAACAAATAAAAAAAATGACCCTTTAAAAATGAAATCGAGCTAGCTCAGTGTCTATTCTAATTTGACAATAAAAACAATAAAATAATCTGTGTCCAGACTATTTTACATACTCTATACATACACGCATAAAACAAAATTAAAAAAAAAACTTTTTTGTGGGTAGGCAAATATTGATGGCTCTTCTTTTTTCGTTTGCTTCTTCTTATTCTTCTTTTTTAATCTTCGGCTTGCGTCCAAATGTCATTTCGAAAGCTCCAATCTGGCGCTTCTCCTCTTTTTCTTCTCCCTTCCCTCTTTTGTTATTCGTCCAATCTGCTGGTGGGGTATTTTCAAATTTTATCGTCATAAACATTTCAGGCTAATTTTATCTGCCCGTCATCAGAAAATCCTTACAAGAAGTACAGTCAATTATTACGTATTTCAACGTAAGCAATAACGTAGCAAATAAAATAATTGCTAACGTTGAAATATATAATAATTATCTGTACTTCTTGTTATGATTTACTGATAATGGGGAAAAAATAGCCTAAAACACGTCAAACAATAATTTATTTGCAGTACTAATTGTTATTAGTTTTTAATTTTATTTATTCATTCTTGTAGATTTGTAATTATTAATTTTTCTTGTAATTCGCTGCAGACCTCCTAGTTTGAGTTGATTCATGGAAAATAAATATATAAGAGAGAAAGCTACTTAAACCCTAGGCTTCTTTAAAAAGTATCCATAAAACATGTTAACGTTTTCAATTTAAATTTTCATATTGTATTTTTTATGTTCATCTGTACTTAAATACTACAACCTGTCCACATTTTTAACATAAACACAAAGAAATAGTTGTTGTTTTTTTCTTGTTTAATAAGTGTTAAACATAACCCGATAAAAAAAAATAAAGCCTTATGAAAAGGCTTTGAAAACTGTTTGAAATCAGTTCCAGGTCTGTACCGCACCTACTTAAAATTTTGTTTCCTTGGTAAGTTCTAAGATTAACCCGGCATGACTAACCCATTTACCCAGGCATGTATGAGGTGTTTTTTGTCAAATTGATTTTTTTTTCCATTGCTGAAGGTGAGAACGCAGGCCATCCAGGTGAGGACGAGGTGTACGAGAAGGCCATTGCCGAGACATTCATGGTTTACAGCTTGTCTGAGGAGCGCCTTCTCCCCGTTGAAACGTACTGGGGCTGTTGCCCAAAAATCAGCGTCCTTGACCCGGCCAAGATACTCGTCTTCGACTTTGGCAGCGAGGTGTACCTATGGGCTGGTAAAAACGCCAGTATGAAGCAACGCCAGCAGGGCAACCTGTTGGCGCAGCAGCTTTTCAAAACGGGCTATCACAACAACACATCCTGGCAATCTACAAGTACGATGGTCGTACCCTCCCCTGTGTCTTTTTTTATAATAGAGTTAAATCGCAGGTATCACTTGGCTGGATGACGAGATGCAATTAGAATCGAGACCTGACTGGAGCATCATTACAAAAGTGACTCAGCACATGGAGCCGATAATCTTTAAGGAGAAGTTCGTCGACTGGCCCGATTTCACTCGTGTCATCAAAACGAAAGATGGCAAGGGTGAAGATAAGCATGTTGATGGGAGCGTCAACGTCCATCCGTGCGACTACAAAGCCATGCTCGACTGGTCCATTCCTTACCCGGACCTCATCCTGGAAGGCTCACATCTCGGACGTGGACGCCGCTACTATGACGAGGAAGTTAGTTGATTCTCAAATACATTTTCCATTGCAAAACTAATTTTTTTTTCTTTTTTACAGAGGAGATTAAATTATGAAGTTACCACAAAAGAAGTCACAGTCTGGCAGATCCATGGAACGTCAAAAATGCCTTTGGAAAAATCGAGCCTGGGAAATTTCCTTGAGGGAGAAAGCTATGTTATCAAGTGGAATTACAGCATCTCAAGTTGTGGTAAGTACTTATTAACTTAAAGGGAGATGAATTTGGTTGAATCTGATCATTCTGGTCAGCCTCCATTGCATCATATCTGATGTGTTACCATCACTTTAAATCCTTAACAATGGCAAACACAGATCCATGTTTTACAGTCAAACCTCTGATATGGCTATCACAGATTCGTGCTTTTCTACATTTGTAAGGGCGTTTTATTGAAATATTGCTGTCTATAAACCTCAGTTCCCATGGAGGGTTGTTTAACATTTGCCGTTTATTGTTATTATATTGTTTAAGCTATAAGTTGCAGCATTTTTCATAGAAACAGAATCATGTATATTGTAGTTCCTATTTGTATTAACACAATTAAGCAGAGAACACACATGACTCAACGCAACCTGACGTTGTTTGGTTTGTCAGAAAATTTATCAAAACACCGGAATATGATTTATTACTAGAATGAATTTAACTGACAAGTTTTTACACAGTTTTGCTCATAAAATTTAACTAAAATTTATTACATGGTTTTGCTTATAAAATTACACTATTTTCGTCTTGTAGCATCAGAACTGAACACTTATATTTTTTGTAGTTTATTTTAAACTAAGGGAAAGTAATTTTGTCGTTATATTAAATACAACTTGCTTATTTTAATGTAAATCAAATTAAACTAAGTCAAAAATCCATGAACTTGTATAAAAATTATTTAATTATGTTGGGTTGGGCACAAAATTTATTAAAACACCGGAATAGCTTTATTTTAAACTATTAAATTTAACTAACAATTTATAACATGATTGTGCTCTTAAAATTTAACTAACAATTTATTCCATGGTTTTGCTCATAAAATTATCCAATTTTTGTCGTGTAGCATCATAACTTGTAATGAAGGTATGTGGTTCTTTTATTCGGACATTGCCGAATGGGACAATAGTAAAAAATAATATTCAGCAGATCCTTTGCTGCCCAGTGGAAATAATTCAAATAAAACAAAATCCGAATTACAACAAAAAATTATATTCCTTTTTAACAAATAAACAAACAAATTCAAATTTTTGAAATAAAATATAAAAAAATCTCAATCAAAATAATCATACAAAAAAGAATTAAAATATTTTCTTTTGCCAACCTGTTAACGTTAGATTATACGAAGTAGACGCTACGACTGGCTTTAAGCTACTACCCGTTATGGCGAAAGCAGCGCTAGTTTTTCTAACTATTAGTTTGGCAAATGAACTATTTACATTTTTATATAATACAAATCGAAACAACAAAATTTTCTTGACTGAACAATTTAAACAAATACAAAATAAGATTTTTTTAAAAATAAATTATTGTTTGTTTGAAAATAAAATAACGTTTACTTCATTGTTAATAATAATAATAATTTAACTTGAAAATTACAACATAGCAAAAAGATAAACAAAAAGTCAATTAAATAAAAATTGTCGTGATTTTCTTGACAAACTGAACACTTATATTTTTTGTAGTTTATTTTAAACTAAGTGAATGTAATTTTGTCGTTATATTAAATACAGCATGCTTATTTTAATGTAAACCAAATTAAACTAAGTCAAAAATTCATAAATTTGTATAAAAATTATTTAATTATGATGGGTTAGGCACAAAATTTATTAAAACACTGGAATAACTTTATTTAAAACAATTAAATTTAACTAATAATTTATTACATGGTTTGTGCTCATAAAATTTAATTAACAATTTATTACATGGTTTTGCTCAAAAAATTACACCATTTTCGTCTTGTAGCATCAGAACCGAACACTTACATTTTTTGTAGTTTATTTCAAACTTTGTGCTGGTCATTTTATAATGTAAATGTAATTATGATCGGTTAGGCAGAAAATTTATCAAAACATCGGAATAACTTAATTTAAAACTTTTCATTTAATTAATCTTTAAGTAAGGTATTTGTTGAGATAAAAAAAGTCAGTGTCACGAGCGGGATTCAAACCCACTACCTTAGGCTCAAAAGGCCGCTGCTCTAACCACTTGAGATAGCGTGACTTCGATCCACTCGGACACCAATTATCTCAACCAATTCCTTACTTAAAGATTAATTAATTTAAAAGAATTTATTTGGTCAATCGGACCACGAAACCTAATGGTTTTATTTAAAACAATTAATATTTATGTAGAAATCGTGAGGTGCGGTCTGGTGTGATGTAGGTTTCAGAAAAACATTTTCTTTACATACATCACACCAGACCGCACCTCACAATTTCTAAATAAATATCGATTAACGGTCACTAATCACCACATAAAATAATTAAATTTAACTAACAATTTATTACATGGTTGTGCTCATAAAATTACACCATTTTCGTCTTGTAGCATCAAAACAGAACACTTATATTTTTTGTAGTTTATTTCAAACTATGTATAGGTAATTTTATTATTATATTAATTACAACATGCTTATTTTAATGTAAACCAAATTAAACTATTTCAAAAATTTATGAATTTGTATAAAAATTATTAAATTATGATGGGTTAGGCAGAAAATTTATCAAAACACCGGAATAACTTTATTTAAAACTTTTCAATTAATTAATCTTTAAATAAAGTATTTGTTGAGATAAAAAAGTCAGTGTCACGAACGGGATTCGAACCCATGACCTTCGGCTAAATACGCCACTGCATCAGAACCTACAAATAGTTTAGTTATGATCGGTTAGGCAGAAAAGTTATCAAAACACCGGAATAAATTTAAGTAACAATTTATTACAAGGTTTTGTTTATACAATTTAAAATTTATTACATGGTTGTGCTCATAAAATAACACCATTTTCGTCTTGCAGCATCAGAACCTACAAATAATTTAATTATGATGGGTTTGGCAGAAAAGTTATCAAAACACCGGAATAAATTTAAGTAACAATTTATTACAAGGTTTTGTTCATACAATTTAACTAACAATTTATTACATGGTTTTGCTCATAAAATTACACCATTTTCGTCTTGTAGCATCAAAACTGAACACTTATATTTTTTGTAGTTTATTTCAAACTATGTATAGGTAATTTTGTCATTATATTAATTACAACATGCTTATTTTAATGTAAACCAAATTAAACTATTTCAAAAATTCATGAATTTGTATAAAAATTATTTAATTATGATGGGTTAGGCAGAAAATTTATCAAAACACGGGAATAACTTTATTTTTAAAAAAATAAACTTAACTAACAATTTAGTACATGGTTGTGCTCATAAAATTTAACTAACAATTTATTACATGGTTGTGCTCATAAAATTTAACTAACAATTTATTACATGGTTGTGCTCATAAAATTTAACTAACAATTTATTACAATGTTTTGCACAAAATATTGCATTAAGAACATCAGGCGTGATATTGATTTATGACTGTATGTGATGTGTGCTTGACGTTGAACAGATGTGCACACCCTACCAAAACGCGACAAGGTGTCAGGTCACATCGCGTTGCGTTGGGTGTGTTCCCTGCTTTAACCCTTTCAAGACGGTCTGTACTCTTCATTTCGAAAGTGAGGTTGTGATAGCATGATCTTCCCTTGTTTCTCCCATCTTTGCCCAAGTTTAAGTTCGTACAAATAAATTTGACGAAAATCTAGTTTGGATATATTTAATATCGCACGTCCTCAATCTTATAAATTCAATATAAACTAAAATAGCCGAAAGTCGTGGGTTCGAATCCCACTCATGACACTGTCTTTTTTATCTCAACCAAGACCTTACATAGTAAGAATAATTAATTGAAAAAGGTAACTTGGTCAATTGACCACTAAAACATAAATGGACTAAATAAACTAAAATGTTTTGTATAAAAAAATAGCAGTTAAAAATATTTATTATAATCCATAAATTAGATTTGAGGATTTAGCTTTGTTTACACGACAAGCACCTACAAAAATAAAACAAATTTTCAAAACGTGCATTAATTTTGCACCAACCTAATATCTTTAACCATACGTAAACATGTTCCTAATCAAGAAGATAATGAAGGGGATCTTAACTCGCCAGAATGATTGCAAAGAATAGAATTTTTTTTAAACTATTATTAAATGTTAACATTAAGTATAAATTTACAGCTCGTGAATTGAGCGGGCTGCCATCCCGGCATGTAGACCTTGGCAGGGACAGAGTAGCACACATTGTCTGGCACGGCAGGAAAGCGCCTGTCTTAGAACAAGGCACTGCTGCTCTGCTCACTAGCCTCGGCGTCAGCAGCGATGAACACGAACACGGGCCCATCCTCACCGTCGCCCAGGACACGGAGTCGCCCGCTTTCATTTCCTTTTTTCCCGGGCCTGTCGTATTTCACTCCCCACAACATTCTCGTAAGTGGCAACGCATTATTTCCCCGTATTGAAGACTTGAACGAAAGACATTTCCAGGCGATGATGAGAGACTGTACCTGATTACCGGCGAAGCCGATGAGGAATGCATGCTCGAGGAAGTGCCCCTTTCTGAGGACCACTTGAGGAGTAGAGCTAGTCTTTGGCTGTTAAACATAACCACCGGGAAGAGTTACCTTTGGCACGGTGCCAAATCACCAGAAGACAAGAGAAAAGTAACGGATATATCAAAGTTGGAAATTTTAAATTTAATTTTTGTTTTTTTATTGCCAGATTGCCTTCAGAGCAGTTAGTTACCTCAGGAAAAACAATCCAAAAGAGTTTGGAGTCAACGATGCACTCATTACCATTAAAGAGATCGAAGAAGGAGAAGAACCTTTAGAGTTCCTCGGAGGTGATTTTTTATTTAGTTTTTACTTAAAAGATAGACTTTTAACATTTTTGTCTCTTTGTTTTTGTTTAAGGATTATGTCAGATAAACAGGGAGAGTTATTATTCGCTCATAGATATAAAAGCAGACTGTGATTGGACGCCGAGGCTGTACCACCTTAGCTCGCTCCTCGGCAATTTCACCGCATGCCCCGTGATCCCGCCAAGACACCACCCTGAATTCGTCACGCCTTATCCTTATAGAAAGCGAGATCTTTATTCAACGAGCCAGCCTTGTAAAGATTTTATTTTGAAATTGTAAGGTATCAGTTGTTTTATTGGTTTTTATGTTGCAGCAATTCTTCTGTTGGATGTTGGGGAGGAGCTGTGGCTCTGGTGCGGTTGGTGGGAGGGCGAGCTGGACGCGAGAGGCACAGCTTGGGCACGTCATCAAGCCGAGCGCAAAGCCGGCATGACGACTGCGCTTCAGTACTGGAGCGGCCGGGGGAAAAACCCTTCTTCGGCGTTTATCGTACATGCCGGTCTCGAGCCGGCAAAATTCAAATCGTACTTTTCCATATGGGAAGACGACTACCCGGAAGCCAGGGAGTTCAACCTCGAGGTATTAAAAACAGGTGGGGTCGTTTAAAATTTACTGTCTTAATTTTAACTTTCGTGCAGGAAGGACACAAAGACGGTGAGGCGAAAAGGGTGCAGGACGAGCTGGCCGAACTTGAGGTGAAATGCTACCCGGTGAGCGAGCTTACAACACACCCTCTACCGGGTGGCGTCGACCCGACCAGGCTTGAATGCTACCTCGACCCCATCGACTTCAAGGTAAATTTTGATACAGGGTGCATCAACTTTATAGTCCACCCATTTAATTCGAAAACGATTAACTTTAGCAAAAAATGGTCTTATACAAACCCCAAGTTAATTTTGGCTAGGATTCACGTGGTAGTAACAGATTTAACATAACTTTCTCATCTGGCCGGGAAATGACACTAACTTTGTTATTTTAAATAAGAAGACCATATTTTTATTGTACAATTCGATTTTAGAGCTTGTTTTATGCTGCTTTTACTTAAAGGAAATTTTGCTAGGATCAGCGAATTCTGAGTTATGTCCGATGGAAGATGTGTGAGGGGGTATGCTTTTGGTAACAACACGATGGTCCTCACCGTTTTTTATTTTTTTGAAAATTTGAAAACGATTAACTTTTTAAAAAAATTGTCTCAAACAAACTCCAAGTTAATTTTGGCTAGGAATCACCTGGTAGTATCAGATTTAACATAACTTTCTCATCTAGCCGTGAAATGACACTAACTTTGTAATTTTCAATAAGAATCCCATATTTTTATTGTACAATTCGATTTTAGAGCTTGTTTCATGCTGCTTTTACCGAAAGGAAAATTTTGCTAGGATCAGCGATTTCTGAGTTATGACAGACGGAAGACGTGCGAGGCGATTAGATTATCGTCGATGTTAATCACCAAGAACGGCCAGAATTTAAAATAATTGAGTTTAAAACCTCAACGACTCGTCATAAGGGACATCTTGATGTTTTTTGAGTGATCGCCACAATTGATAAGTTCTCTGGGAAGATTTTAATTTTGAACTGTATGTAGCAAAAAGCCTGTGCCCTTTCCATTTTTCAATGCGTGAATTCTTTTCCCAGTTGTACCATATCTTTATTTATGGTTTTTATTGTATTGTCAGGTAATTCTATTCTAGCTTCAAACATCGATGATCTTGTTACAAAAAGCCCCCACATGCGTTTTCTGTCGCAGAAATGTCGATCCTTAAAATATTTCTTTCAGTAAAAGTGGCATAAAATAAGCTTTAGAATCGAATTGTACAATAAAAATATGGGATTATCATTTAATATAATAAAGTTAGTGATATTTCCTAGCTAGCTAAACTGCTCGAGATAATTAACTTTTTCTCTTTTCTGTGCAGAAACTTCTCGGGGTTACGAAGGAGGAGTTCGACGAGCTTCCCGTCTGGAAAAGGACCAACCTTAAAAAGATGGCCTGCCTTTTCTGAACTGAAGCCTTTCTCAATTTCTCTTTACCATCGGCTGTGAATATTTTTACTTTTTTGTATTTAGAAGAACGAAGCGGAGTGGTCTTTTTTTTCTGTTTATTTATTTTATTTTGTTTTGTTTTTTTCACCATCGCCTAATTCAAAAAATTTACAACTGGCCCATTCTTTCAACAAACATACCACGAGACATCATCAAAGACCTATCTCCTATTTCTTTGTCTGAATATTATTTTATAAAAAATCGGGTTTTTCTTCCCCGGTTAATTTTTATCGAAGACAAGCCTTTTATTAATATTTTTACTTTTTATTCTTTGTTATTATTGTTTGTTTTTTAAAGAAAACTAATATTGTATAACTCCTAAAAAATTTATTATAAATAATTCAAATAAATTTTCTTATATATTTTGTATTTTAAAAAAACAAATTTAAAAAAAAAATCACTATTATTAAAGATGAAAGTTGACCAAAAAAAATATTATTAACCAAAGTTTCATCTAAACCATTTCTTTATTTACAAAAAAAAATGCAATAAATAAAATACAATTTTTCACTGTGTAAATTCAGTTTAATTTTCACCGAGGTGCTTTTATTTTGTGTGTGGTTATCCATATATAATTTGTAATTATTCTAAATGTTTTGTAAATAAAAAATTGACAAAATATTTGCAAAAAGTACTTAACCATATTTCTTTTTTTAATTCGTATTTTTTACTCTTTTGGCCCTCGATAGTCTTGGGTCATTCACGATCGTTCTGACCATCCAAAAAGAGCGACACTGCTACAAACAATGACGTCATTGGCAAAATACGAAATGGCATGATGTGGATGGCTGAGGATTCGACAGGACTAAACTCCATCCAACAAGGGACCAGGTTTGTGTAGGTCATAAATTTGGACCAATTTTTTTTTGGTGATTTTACACTCCAAAATATCAGACATGTATCCGCCGCTTCTTGTGAATACGCTTTGGTTTCACCAAAATTTACATCAAACTAGCTAAAACAAAATTTCTTATTAATTTCACACAAAAAAATGTATTACTAAGTTTACTTGAAAAATATTTGGTTTTTAGAATTTTTTGGTTATTGATTTTTTTTTTTTTTTTTTGGGTGGGGGTATGCTGGCATATTACACATGAAGTTTTATATTTTAATTTTACTGTTGAGCAGGATCGTGGACACGGTCCCCCAGCCAAAAACCCCACCAGGGCAGGAGAGGAGGAAAACCCGTATGGTTTTTCGCTTTTGTCTATTTGTTCAGTGTCCTCCTTGGACCAATAACATCGAGATAATTTTGGAAAAGTCCACGTCCTCGAGGAAATGGGCCCTGTCCGCCCCAACGGGATCAGCCGACCAGGACCAGGCCCCCGCCGTGCACCCACACCCACTCACTCAGCTCAATCTAAATCTTAATGGTTGAACATAATCAAAAAGTAACATTTATTAAGAATCTATAAATTATGTTCAATGCTGGAGGATTGTTGCTTATTAGAACAGATTCTAACTTTATTGGTTTGGGACTTGGCTCAGATTTTTGAGCAGTTTATCTTTCATTTTCGTATTCTGGGCATTTTCATTGTTGAAAATTAAAATGATCTTTTACTACATTTTTATTGCAATCTGGATAAAAAATTATAAAATGATAAATTCACATAGTTGATTTGTGAAAGTAGAACGGCAAAATAAAAATATAAAACAGAAAATTTCAGCTAATTTCAATTTTTTTTTTTTCGAAATCAGGGCCACGTTCACAAGAAGTGGCGTATGTGTGTAATATTTTGGAGAGTAGAATCACCAAAAAAAGTTTGGTCTGAATCCGTGGTAGAGCCAGGGTCGTCGTCCCCCTTGCAAGCCCCAAACTTTTGAGGCAAGGCCCAAAACGGTGTGTTTGGGTTTAAGAAAACCATTTTTTTTTTTTTTTTTTTTTTTGGGGGGGGGGTCATTTGAGCAACATCTCGTATGCTCACAAACGTTAGGCTTAAAGAATGCTGGTTCTTAATAAAGGATTGTATCTTTGTTGCCATTGACGTTTTTATCTCAACTAAAAAAACCTTAATTAATTGAAAGATATTAATTGGTCATGCGGACCACGAAAACAAGTGAATTTAATAAGTTTAAAATGAAGTATACTTCACTAAAGCTCTCCGTGGCCATTTCATTTGTCGAGAATCCAATCCGATTACACGACATTTGAAAAATGGCAAAAAGGAGGGAAAATTCAAAAGGTGGGGTTGAGATGGGAAGTTAGTGTTCGAGTGGATCGAGGTCACGGCAGCTCAAGTGGTAGAGCAGCGGCGTATCAAGCCGAAGATCGTGGGTTCGAATCCCGCTCGTGCCACTGACTTTTTTATCTCAACTAAAAACCTTAATTAATTATAAAAAAAATTGAAAGTTGAAATTTACCATTATTTAATATTTTTATTTCACCGTTGTAATTGCTCAAATCAACTAGGTGAATATATCATTTTACAGAGTTTTTTGTGTAGATTGCAATAAAAATATAGTAAAAGCTATCAAAGTTTATCATTAATCAAAAAAATTTCTAAAAACCAAATTATTTTCATGTATACTAGATCATAATTTTTTTCCCCCTTAAAACTAATATGAAATTTCGTCTGAGTACCTCTAGAGATCCCTAAATAAAACATTTTCTCCCTTAAAATTTTTTCCAATTTTTAAGAAATCATTATCAGAATATCTGATTGAAACAGGATTATAATTCAAAAGTGGCCAAAAGGATTTTAACATCAAATTTGAAGAAACAAAGAGAACCATTTGAAAGAAGAGAAATGAAGCTTTATAACGACGTCCATAAAAATATACAAAAGATTTCTATGAGAAAATACACAAGATAGGAAAATTATTTGTTAGAAATTAACCTCGTTTTTTCAAATGAAAATAATAGTCCGATTTTAATGTTTGATACAGTTATAAAATGTAATTGACACTTTCTTTAAAACGAATTATCAACCAAGAAAATCGGTCCACTAGTTTTTGAAAAAAATGATGTTAGAGCTTGCACTATCTCTTGTGTTTTCAATTGAATTTTGTAAATAAATTTTAGAATAGTCAATCCCATTTTTGTTCGTTTTTCTGTAAAGCTTTTTTCTAACGTTGCATTTTTAAGTTTCAAATTTGTTTGAGTGATGGTTTTAAATGATACAGAATCGGCTAGAATCATAGCATTGTTGCAAGATGGAAGAAGTCAAGCGTACGTGGCCAGGGTGGTTAAAATTCCCAGAACTGTCCGAAGGGTCTTCCGTAGCTACGAAGATACTGAAGAAGTTAATTCACTACCTTCGTGGTCCGCTTGACCAATTAATTAAGGTTTTTAGTTGAGATGAAAAAAAGTTAATGGCACGAGAGGGATTCGAACCCACGACCTTCGGCTATATACGCCGCTGCTCTACCACCTGAGCTATCGTGACCTCGATCCACTCGGACATCAACTCATCAGGTGGGTTCGAATCCCTCTCGTGCCATTAACTTTTTTTCATCTCAACTAAAAACCTTAATTAATTGTCGTGTATTAATTGGTCAAGCGGACCACGAAAGTAGTGAATTAATGATTTAAAAATGAAGTACACTTCACTAAAGCTCTCCGTCGCCATTTCAATTGTCGTCGAGAATCCAAATCGATTACACGACATTTGAAAAATGGCAAAAGGAGGGAAAACTCATAAGGTGGGGTTGAGATGGGGAGTTGATGTCCGAGTGGATCGAGGTCACAATAACTCAAGTGGTAGAGCAGCGGCGTATCTAGCCGAAGATCGTGGGTTCGAATCCCGCTCGTGCCATTAACTTTTTTTCATCTCAACTAAAAACCTTAATTAATACTGAAGAAGCATGAAATCAGGTCGCCTTCGATCAGTGTTTCGAACGTACTCCGTAATCGACATTCTACCGCTGTTGAGATCAAATTCAAGGCTTTAACCAATTAAAAAAGTTAATGTCGGAAACCGGGCCTACTAATCAAGTTCCTTGATGAAATAGGACACCGGTGAACTATAGGCGCAGAACGGGGGATACAATAGCTCTTAAATGGCGCAGTGTAATTACATCTATTCACCTACATCTATTCCTTATATGCTCCTAATTGGCTACGGTTTTATATTTATGCACGGCATTGCAATGCCACACACAGCTTGGATCATTGATGACTTGGAACGGGTTTCAATTTAATGTTTGGACAGGATGCCCGACTTAAACCCTGCTGAACACCTTTGGGACGAGTTGTCAAAGGAGGTAAAAATTCAGTGGTATCAGAGAATTTGGTGTAATTATGAATGGCGCTGTTGGAGGAGTTTGAAAATATTCGGCACTACATTCAAAACATCATAAAATCGAGCGACGTCGAAGCGTGATCAACTCGAGATGAGGAAATACTCCTTAGTGATTTGGACATTTTCTTCATTGTTTCCCTTAGCATCATTTTTGGAAAAATCGTTTTACTCGGTAGATTTTTTATTATAGCTGTATAGCATTTTCCAATCAAATGAAACTTTCTTTCAAGCAAATGAAAACTTTATTCAAAGAAATGGAACGTTTTTTTCCAAGCAAATATATCCTTTTTTTCAAACAATTTAAACTTTTTCCAAGCAAATGAAACCTTTTTTCCAAACAATCGAAACTTTTTTTCAAGCCATTGAGACGTTTTTCCAAGCAAATGAAACCTTTTTTCCCAAACAATCGAAAAATTTTTTTTCAAGCAATTAAGACGTTTTTTCAAGCAAATGAAACTTTTTTTTCCAAACAATCGACTTTTTTTTTTTTCGAGCAATTAAGACGTTTTTCCAAGCAAATGAAACCTTTTTTTCCAAACAATCGAAAAATTTTTTTTCAAGCAATTAAGACGTTTTTTCAAGCAAATGAAACTTTTTTTTCCAAACAANTTATTTCCTTAAAAAAAATTTCAGTTGTTTGAAAAAAGTTTCATTCGCTCTGAAAAAGTCTCAATTCTTTGAAAAAATGCTTCAATTGTTTGAAAAAAGTTTTATTTGCTTGGAAAAAGTCTCAATTGCTTCAAAAAAGGTTTCAATTGTTGCAAAAAAGGTTTCATTTGCTTGGGAAAAGGTTTTATTTGCTTGAGAAAGTCTCAATTGCTTCAAAAAAGGTTTCAATTGTTGCAAAAAAAAAGTTTCATTTGCTTGGGGAAAAGTTTCAGTTGCTTGAGAAAAAGTTTCATTTGCTCTGAAAAAATTTTATTCATTGAAAAAAGGCTTCAATTGCTTGAAAAAAGTTTCATTTTGCTTGGAAAAAGACTCAATTGCTTCACAAAAGGTTTTAATTGTTTGAAAAAAGGTTTCATTTGCTTGGGAAAAGGTTTCATTTGCTTAGAAAAATATTTTATTTCACTGGAAAATGCTATTTTTCATATTTTTCTTTAAAAAATATCCAGTAATTAACAAAAATAAAAATTAGAACGATTGCAGGTATTTTCTAAACAAAATGAGGATGGCCGCGTTTTTCGCCTTTTAGTGAATATAGGTTTTCGTCCTGTAGATGAGCAATAGTCGTAAAAAGTTTTTGGCGAACGGTCGAGTTTCCAGGGCGACGGGAGCCACCGTAAAGTCAACAAGTGCGGGGAAGGGGCCGTTAGCCAGCCCGCCACCCTCAGGGAGCCACCCATTTACCACGGAGAAGCCGAAGAGCCATGGGCTGTGCAAGCAGCGCTCCGCTAGTCCAGCAGGGGCTCGACGCTGCCAAAAAAGCCGTCTCGAGAGAAAACGCCGAGGAAAAGGCAAAGTCCCTCGCGAGGACCGTCTCCGATTCGGATGAGGTGAAAGGCGTCATCGAAAATGTGCAGCATGTCAAGGATGAAGCCGTCGAAAAATTACAAGGTTAGACATACAAACACGCACCAAACGCAATTTAACCATTTACCGTGTGAATATTTCTTCATACCTACTCAGAGAATTCCCCTTGGGAATTGTCGCTGAAGACAGAGAAATCTGTATGACCCTAATGGTCATGGTTGGTATAAACCAGCAGCAACTATTCAAACTACTACTACTCTGGATCAAGGTCTGATCTAGTAGAAAAAAAGCAAATTCAATGTTTACTGCCAAGCTTTCGACCAATTTTAAGGTCATCATCCGGGCTAAACATCTAAATACAGATTGACATATTTAAGTTTTTACAGGCTCAAATTTCCTTAAGATCGACTCAGTCCCAACATTGCCATGTATTACATAGTTCATCAAACTGTTAAGAATATTTAAGGTTGTTTTGCCCTGATGATGACCATAAAATAGGTCGAAAGCTTGGCAGTAACAATTGAATTTGCTTTTTTCTGCAAGAACATACCTTCATCCAGAGTGTTCCTGAGTGAAAAATTGGTCGATATACTGAAAACAGAAACACTACAAGATAGATAAGACCTAAAATGTTAAATACAAACTACAATCTGATCCATTCTTGGCTGTATTTCTGGTCAAATCGGTTCGCCTTATTTCATTTTGGCACTGTGCTGGACAGTCTTGGTTCATTTTTTAAAACGCCTTATAGGAACAACACTAGAATAAACAACATTGTGCGCATAAAGTGGAGATTGGCAACCTTGACATTATTCGATTAATCGAATGCGAAATTACGAAAGAGTGGTCAGTCACGTTGATAAAGTAACGTGATTAAAAATCGATCCTCTTCGGTCCGTTTAATCTCGTCGTGTCGAAACGAGTTTGCCGCCCGGGGAACACAGCGAGACAGGGCGGATTCGATCGCCCGCGCCTAATGACATCAAATGGTAAACTCTAAGGTAACGTTCCTAGGTACTCGGTACGATTTTTGTTCAGAAAGGGACTCGTTCAAACAACCCGGAACACGCCGTCCACTGGATATCTTGATGCTAATCTGCATCACGTAACGACAAAATGCACGAATTCCCCTCCATGGAATCACCATAAAATCAAGAAACATTACTCATATGGGGCAATAGTTCCTTGAGGTGAAATGTTTCAGCACTGAATTCAACACTGAAGATGGCAAAACGCGTCTGACAGATAAAATCAGCCCGGATAGGCAGACCAAGATGATAGGTCACTATCAAATTAAAGAACTTTCCACAATACACGCTGTATTAGAGAGGTTAGAAAAAAGCACGGGTTTTAATAATAACTTGATAGCTTATGTAAACCGCAGGCGATGAACGGTCGCGGTTAAGCTAATCCTCAAGGATGCAATAATACTGACATCGTTGATGGCGTTGGGCTTCGGTTAATCCATCTTTTTTTTTCGCGAAGGCACGTTACAGAAGCACTCAGTGAACATCTTTATGTCCCCTTTGCCTTTTTCTTCTTCTTTCTATATTTGCCTCTTTTTTGGCTTAAATCATATTACAATTGATCAGCTTAGGCTAGGATGTGGAACACTTTTCCGTGAGCAGTTGACAGAACATGACCTTTCTGGTCCGCAGAGCCGTGAAAGCACAATAGCGCTCTGTGATCTTCTTGGTGTTCTTTTTTTGCTTTTACTTCATCTTTCTATATTTGCCTCTTTTTTCTCTGAAATTATATGAAAATTGACAGCTTGGAACACTTTTCTGTGGGCAGTGGACACAACATAACCTCTCTGGGTCCGCAGAGCCGCGAAGGCACGTTACAGTTGCGCTCTGTGTTCTTTTTTGCTTTTTCTTTTTCTTTGGGGGCGTCAAATTCACCAGACAGTCAACAGTATAATGCAACTTAGAGTAGGATTTGGAACCCTTTTCCGTGGTTTACTGGCATAACATGTCTCTCTGGGTCCGCAAGGACGCGAAGGCACGTTACAGTTGCGCTCTGTGTTCTTCTTTATGTCCTTTTTTTTGTTTTTGTTTTTTGCTTTTCCTTTCTCTATTTGCCTCTTTTTCACTGAAATTATATTAAAATTGATCAGCTTGGGGTAGGATTTGGAACCCTTTTCCGTGGGGAGATGACCCAACATGACCTCTGGTCTGCACAGCGCGAAGGCACGGTAGCGCTCTTTGCTCTTCTTGATGTACTTTTTTCGCTTTTTCTTCTTCTTTCTCTGTTTGCCTCTTTTTCCCTAAAATTATATGAAAATTGACAGCTTGGGGTAGGATTTGGAACCCTTTTCCGTGGGCAGTTGACACAACATGACCTCTGGTCTGCACAGGGCGAAGGAACGTTACAACAGTTGCGCTCTGTGATCTTCTTGATGTTCTTTTTTGTCTTTTCTTCTTCTTTCTCTATCTGTCTCTTTTTTCTCTGAAATTATATTAAAATTGATCAGCATGAGGTAGGATTTGGAACACTTTTATTTGGTCAGTTGGCACAACATAACCTCCCTGGGTACGCAGAGCCGCGAAGGCAGGTTACAATTGCGCTCTGTGTTCTTTTTTATGTTCTTTTGCTTTTTCTTCTTCTTTCTCTTTTTGCCTCTTTTTTCTCTGAAACTATATTAAAATTGATCAGCATGGGGTAGGATTTGGAACCCTTTCAGTCGGCAGTTGACAGAACATAACCTCTGGTCCGCAGAGCCGCGAAGGAGCGTTACAACAGTTTCGCTCTGTGATCTTCTTGATGTTCTTTTTTTGCTTTTTCTTCTTCTTTGTCTATCTGTCTCTTTTTTCTTTTAAATTATATGAAAATTGACTGCTTGGGGTAGGATTTGGAACACTTTTATTTGGTCAGTTGGCACAACATAACCTCTCTGGGTACGCAGAGCCGCGAAGGCACGTTATAGTTGTGCTCTGTGTTCTTCTTGATGTTCTTTTGTTTTTTCTTCTTCTTCTTTCTCTATTTGTCTCTTTTTTCACTGAAACTATATTAAAATTGATCAGCACGGGGTAGGATTTGGAACCCTTTCAGTCGGCAGTTGACAGAACATAACCTCTGGTCCGCAGAGCCGCGAAGGAGCGTTACAACAGTTGCGCTCTGAGATCTTCTTGATGTTCTTTTTTTGCCTTTTCTTCTTCTTTCTCTATCTGTCTCTTTTTTCTTTGAAATTATATTACAATTGATCAGCATGGGGTAGGATTTGGAACACTTTTATTTGGTCAGTTGGCACAACATAACCTCCCTGGGTACGCAGAGCCGCGAAGGCACGTTACAATTGCGCTCTGTGTTCTTTTTTATGTTCTTTTGCTTTTTCTTCTTCTTTCTCTATCTGTCTCTTTTTTCCCTAAAATTATATGAAAATTGACAGCTTGGGGTAGCATTTGGAACCCTTTTCCGTGGGGAGTTGACCCAACATGACCTCTGGTCTGCACAGCGCGAAGGCACGGTAGCGCTCTTTGCTCTTCTTGATGTACTTTTTTCGCTTTTTCTTCTTCTTTCTCTGTTTGCCTCTTTTTTCCCTGAAATCATATGAAAATTGACAGCTTGGGGTAGGATTTGGAACCCTTTTCCGTGGGCAGTTGACCCAACATGACCTCTGGTCTGTACAGCGCGAAGGCACGGTAGCGCTCTGTGTTCTTCTTCATGTTCTTTTTTGGCTTTTTCTTCTTCTTTCTCTATTTGCCTCTTTTTTCTCTGATATTATATTACAATTGATCCCCAACCCCTAAACTTTGGCCCATGGTTTCAATCCAACCGGGCCGACGCGCCAGTAATCTTATTTACTTCATATTCATTTATTTATTTAATTATTGTGAGCAGTATAGTAGGTCAAATTTTATTTATTAAATTTGCTGATGTCAAACCGAATAATTTGGCAATATTTTCTTGGTTGTCCTCTAATATTCATCCAGCGTATCCCGGAGAGGATAAAATTTTTTTAACTCATGATATATACGACATGATAGTAAAATATGTTTTGTTGTTATTATTTCATTCGCATACAGGCGGAGGGTCACTGGCCATTAAGTGACCCTTGGTGGTCCGGCAGTGTCCTATTCTCAACTTACTCAGTACAACCTCCTCCCTTGTCTTCAACCTAAACGGCCATGCCTGTGTGACTTGATTTCACGAAGCTTGTTGTTTGTAACTGAGTGTCAGGTTTTTTGCCGTTGTAAATATATTTTCTCCTTAATGACCGCAATGAGGTCATCTTTGCTTACCTCCACAACAAGGTTTCCGTCTCCAACTGCCTCTTTGGCTGCTATATCTGCTCTCTTATTGATACCCGAATGACCAGGAATCCAGAGAAAAAATACTCTTTTCCCTTGCTACTCAAGACGTTCTTCACTTAACGACTCTGTTAAACGCCTAATGACAAGTGATGTAGAGTATGTTAACAGCCAATGACGTTCCTGGTAAACTCGTTGGTTTTGAAGTACAGTTTCCAGACCTTGGCAATTTATAACCGTGGGCATCGGTTGAAATCGGGCCCAGGCAAATCCGATCATCAACTCTGGTGCCTGGGGGTAACCGACGACGGAGGCAATTTCCCCTTATCTTCCTTTCCCTTCCTTACTCCCCTCTGCTTTGGCAGAGGCTTCCTGGGTTACTGAACCCACACCCCTCAGGCAACGGGTGCAGACATCAGTAGGGGGTTCGTATGAAGTCCCACTTTAAAAATAATACTGAACCATGGGAGTATTCAAGCGGCTCTACTAACTGAGGTTGGACTCGTGGTGGTCGTGGTTTGCAAACAAATTGTACCTTAGCAGGAGGGTACCGGCCAACCGGAGCCGGAGATAGAGTGCCTTCTCTCGCTCTCCGGGGGTGGTGAAAGGCACGGCTGAAAGGGCTATGCCAGAAACCACAAAACTGCCTTTTTCAGGGCACATGGATAGTTGTGCTTTTTTTAGAGAACTTCTGAACTTGGTTAGCATTGCACCACCTCGCCAACCAAAGGATGTCCATGCATGTAAAATCTTCCTAGTGTTCTCCTTGAGAACATTGGGCGTTTGGTAAGTCACCTCAAGGATAAGATCCTCATTGGTCTCAACTTCCATGAG